GAAAGCTGAGCGCTGAAGAATTGATGCTTTTGAACTATGGTGTTGGAGAAGACTCTTGAGAGTCCCTTGGACTGCAAGGAGATCCAACCAGTCAATCCTAAAGGAAATCAGTCCTGAATATTCATTGGAAGAATTGATGCTGAAGCTGAAACTCCAGTATTTTGGCCATCTGATGTGAAGAACTGACTCATTTGAAAAGACCCTGATATTGGGAAAGATTGAAGGCAGGAGGAGAAGGGTATGACAGAGGATGAGATGGTTGGATAGCAACATTGATTTGATGGACATGAGTTTGAGTAAGCTCTGGGAGTTTTTGATGGACAGAAAGGCCTGGTGTGCTGCAGTCCATGAGGTTACAAAGAGTTGGACATGACTGAACTGATTATTTAAATATCCAGTGAAATATATAGTGGGATGTATTCATAGCTCAATGTAAAGAAAGATTGGAAATACAGTAGTTGTCTTAGCAGTTTTGATTATTTGATCTTTTGAGTTATAAAACTGACCTAAATTTTTGAGTAGTATTTTCAGTGAGTAGACTGCAAAACCAGCCATTTGGCTACAAGATTGAACAGTAATAAAATTAGATGCTATATGGAACCTTAGGGGGCTAAGGTTTATTCAATAATCCTTTTTATCTTTCCCATTCTCTGCTGTTCCAGGTAAATGACAGGCCCTAACCTCCATAGTCCACAAGCGGAGATGTCCATCCTCATGTGCAGTGACAAGGATAGGTGGTGGTTGAGTATCTGTTACATTGGTGCCTCCAGGATGTTTTTTGTCCACTGGCTCTCTCACGGCATCTGTTTGCTCACCTGTTGGACAATTAGTGAGTTACCAGTTACCAAATACCAGTTTGTTGTACTTGGCATTCAAATTTTATTGAATATAAAAGAGGAAGCAAGTAGGAAAAAAAAAAACCAAAAATACTCACATTCTTTTCCCTAGAATTTTTTTATTATTATTATTTTTTGATCTTGGAGAACTTCAGTCAGGGGAGAGAATAAAAAACCTTTAACAAATGGAATCCTATATCATGGAAAAAACTAAAAGAGCTCATTTTGGGTTCTATTACAAAAGCCTCTGCATTGTACATGGTAGTTAAAACTAGATATATATCCAGTATGAGTCCTACACAGTCAAAAAAGGCTTATGATTCTAGTATAAGCTTCAGGGCAGTGGGCTGGAGACTAAGAAGCTCAGGAGTACTTTGGATTTTTAAAACCTAAAGTTAATGGTTATAAAGGCATCATAATAACGTAAACTCTGCTTCTTAGATTACTGAAACTTATAGCACCTCAGCATTTAGTCACAAAAAAGAATATATATTAATTGTAAGTATTGTATCACCTAAACTCTCTGTGGCAAAGAAGTTAAGAAAGGGAGATTTCATACTAACCTTTAATCTCACTCTCATGTATGCTCTGTTTGCTTCCCTGAATTCGGGGAGAAAAAGAGAATATTTATGATATTGTAAGGAAATGCGATACACTGAATGAATAGATTTTTTTCATAGTTAAATTTATATCTCCAAACATTAATTTTAAAGTTATTTTACAATTAATTATTTGAAAAGATGCATTGCAGTGATTTTCATGTTTATAAATAGGGTATTTATAACACAGCCTTTTCCTAGTGGCTCCAGTGTAGCATAATAACAAGAGTAATTAAATACCTAGAGCTTGCTACATTCTTCGTGTATAATGTCTCTAATTCCATTAACAACCATACCAGTTAGGTTATACTATTCCCTTTGTATCACTGAAGAAACGGAAACTCAGAGGTTAAGTGACATCTCTAAAGCTAATCAGATAATAAATGGAGTGCTTGGATTTAAGTACAAGTCTGTTTGACACATCCTTACAAGCTGATTATTTCCACTATGCTAGTGCTTTTAAAACAATTTATGCTGTCCAACTTTTCCAAACAAAATCTTAACTAGAAATAAAAATGTGTAAAAAAATAAAAAACATGGAACCAAGAACACAGTTTGAAAACCATTTCATTACATTGTGTTGTAACAAAATCACATGCTGTCTCTTTCCTCTGTGAAATGTATATAACACTTTTTAGCAAAAGATATAGTCTAAAATTATTATTTAATGAACATAAAAATAGCCTATGTAATTTATTTTATTCATGATTATTTGCAGATAGGAATGCCTTGAAAAATAGTGGGAAAACAGATAAAAACAATTTAGACATTGCTTTTTAGGGAAAACAAAAAAGATTTTACTTACGACATGCAACAAATTATTAAGCCAACATTGGTGATAACACGAAGGCACACTCTCCTTTTCTCTTGCTTACCTTGCTACTCTGTGGACCCTTGCTAGAATCACATTGGGATGAAGAACATACAGAATCCTGACTTGATTTCCTATAAGCAGAGAGAGGAAGCCCAAGGAGGAAAAGTTAAGATACTCTTTCATACTCAGAAGGTGCTCTCCTGTGTTTTAATTTCAGCTGGTTACTTTTTTTCAGCATCTCTGGATTTTAGTGTGGATACTGCTCAGGGGTAGGAAATGAAAATCTGTTCTTTCCCACTGTTAAGGCTAGATTTAGTCCCAGAGGCTTTGACACTGAAATGGTGGGGAGTGAGGTGGCTGTGAGGAGCCCTGGAAAACCTAGTAACTTCTGCTCTGCAGTTTCCAATTCTGCTAGAATGGGCTGAAAACTGGCTTAGTGTTCTGGTGCAGATATATACAGATGAGGTCCTCAAAATATTCTCAGAATGAGAACGTTTCAAGTCAAGGAGTAGGGAAGGTGTTATGTTTTGGCTCACTTCTGGATGATGAGATAGTACAGAAGCCTTTGATTTCTCTCCAGAGATGTGCTTTTCATTGCCTATTGAAATCAGAGCTCTCGAGCAAATATAAATAGCAAAAACACCTTTTCTTAAACTTAAAAAAAAAAAAAACCCTGCTCTCTTGGAAATGGATTATGATTGCTCAGTTATAGCAGATGTCATATGAAACCTGCTTCTATATGATCGTTCATATTTGCCCTATAAATCTTTTTTTTTTCTTCTGCTTTACATTAGTGCTCATAGAGTTGTATTTTAGCTGCAAGTGGGGTCAAGTGAGCATTTTTCCTCTCTGCTGTGGGACTGAATGGTAAAGGGAAATTGGATAACCACACAGCAAATCAGATCCCTCTGGGGCCATCCATCTACAAAAACAGTAATAAGGAAGAAAGCTGAAGCCAAGTATGTCAGTCCAAATATATCTTCCCTCAGTTGTGTGTGTGTGTGTGTGTGTGTGCTCATTCAGTTGTGTTTGACTCTTTGTGACTCCATGGACCGTAGCCCACCAGGTTCCTCTTGTCCATGGAATTTTTCAAGCAAGAATACTAGAGTGGGTTGACATCTTCCTCCTCCAGGGGATCTTCTGGACCCAGGGATCAAACCCACATCTCCTGTGTCTCTTGCATGTCAAGTGAATTCTTTACCACTAGTGTCACCTGAGAAGACCCTTCCCTCAATTGTACCTTCCTAAATGCTGAGATGAGGAAAACTCTTTTTATATCATCCGCTTAAGTCCCAGACAATATTTCTTGATCAATAAGTGCTAAGTTACCTTACACATTCAGGATTACGAAAGAGAAATAGTATGTCATTAATTCTAAAGCGTGTAGGGTCCAAGTCAGGGTCTACAGTGAAGCAATCGTCTGGTCTATACCTAGGAATAAGCATACATTCACAAGATTAAAATTTACAAATAAGGTAATGTGCATAATTATTATATATTCCATGCAGAGGTAATCAACTCCTGAAATGTTGATGATCATTGAATATGGAGAGAAAACCCAAAAGTATAGCATTTGAACTCTTCCTTAATAAACATGTATATAACAACATGATCATTTAGTGTTTAGAAGTCTTTTAATTCAATCAGTTTGTCTATTAGTTCAGAGAGTGAGCTTATACAACCTCCTGGAAGTTTCTTACAGTTTAAAGAATAGATTTCTACTCTTTGAATAAGTGCAGTGAGAAATTAGAATAAAATGTAGTTACTATCCTCAAGCACCTTATAATTAAGTAGAAAAGGAAAGCAGGTAATTCAGTAATCACACTATTCTTCCTGCTCCAGACTCCAATTGACTCAGATTCCCAAGAACACCTTCCTAGGTAGTTTCATGGAAGCAGAAGGATGGTCCCCCACCGTCTGCCCTGGCGCTTCATAGTAGGTTTTTAAAGCCATGTTTGATATTCCTTATAGGAAATAGATGTTGTAACAAACTGTTCTTTTTCCTTTAGTGAAAATTACCTCTGCTAATATGGATGGACAAGTGATGAAGGACCTGCTGGGGAGTGAACCAAGATCAAAGGAAGAACCTGCAAATTTGATGACTTGTTGAGCTACAACTTTTTACATATTTGTGCTCTGCAAGTGAACTGCATGGTAAAGTGGATTATTCATTGGCAATAACAATTTCTAGTTTGCACCCCAGAAAGCATGGGACTTGGAACAGAAAAAGGAGGACTATTTCTCCTGACTGGTGAAGGGCTCTTAGACAAAGTTTGAGGTAGAGGTAGAAATGGCCATCCTTAACTTTAGAGTCTTTAAACTGGACCTAAATTACTTTGGACAGTTAAATTATATGTTTTGCAAAATACTCTACTGATTCTAAATCAATTGTTTTAATATAATCATCTTTTTGTGGGAAGAGGACACTATATGACCCATTATAGTCAGTTATTCTTCTTTGGGTCCTAGATTTGCATGCATCCCTTGGCAAACTGCCTAGCACTTCAAGAATAGATTCAAGAAGAATCTCCACCTTTGAATTGGGAATATTCTCAGGGGAGCTGCGATCTCTTTTAAGCTGTGGCAGTAGATTATGGTCTTTGCATTTTTAGTCTAGTAGATGCTTTCCCAAAATAGTGAGTCATGCATAAGCTGACACAGTGTGAAAACTGTATTAATAAGAAGATGAGGAATTGTGTGGTGTTATTATTTAGGAATAAAGTGACACATATACAGTCTGTGAGAAAAGCCTAAGGGCAAGGATTGGAGGAAAGGAATTGAAGAATGACAGGAATTCTAGGGGCACGCCCAGCAGACCCTGAGCTGAGGTAAAGAGGAGGGGTTTACAGAAACAGCTACTTCAGCTTAAGGTTCAAAGAAAAGCATACCCAAAGTCCCAAAAAGAAAGGAATATTTCCTCCCAAAACTTGGCTAAAAGTAAAAACTCTGACATAGACTGAAAAGGGGCATTGCATGTAAACATATGCAAGTACTATAGCTAGGAGAGGCAGAGATTTCTTTTGCTTTTTCTTCTTCTTTTCCCTTGTCTTCTCTGACTCTCTTCTCCTTTATACCTCTTTCCTTCCCCCAAAATGCTTAAATAGAATTGATTTTATTTTTAATTTATTGTTAAGGTTCTCGGCCGTCTTATACCTGGAAGTACAACTTTAGAAACTCTCTTAATATACGGTGACACATGCCCCTTGCTTGGAGCCCAATTACACAACTGAGGAAAGGTTATTATTTTTAACCCATCCATAACAAATAATAAAATGTTACATTATATCCTTTATCAGTTCAGTTCAGTTCAGTTGCTCAGTCGTGTCTGACTCTTGGCGATCCCATGAATCGCAGCACGCCAGGCCTCCCTGTCCATCACCAATTCCCGGTGTTTACTCAAACCTATGTCCATCGAGTTGGTGATGCCATCCAACCATCTCATCCTCTGTCGTCCCCTTCTCCTCCTGTCCCCAGTCCCTCCCAGCATCAGGGCTTTTTCCAATGAGTCAACTTTTCTCATGAGGTGGCCAAAGTATTGGAGTTTCAGCTTCGGCATCAGTCCTTCCAATGAANGATGGGGACTGCAGCCATGAAATTAAAAGATGCTTACTCCTTGGAAGGAAATTTATGACAAAACTAGACAGCATATTAAAAAGCAGAGACATTACTTTGCCAACAAATGTCTGTCTAGTCAAGGCTATGGTTTTTCCAGTGGTCATGTATGGACGTGAGAGTTGGACTGTGAAGAAAGCTGAGCACTGAAGAATTGATACTTTTGAACTGTGGTGTTGAAGAAGACTCTTTAGAGTCCCTTGGACTGCAAGGAGATCCAACTAGTCCATCGTAAAGGAGATCAGTCCTGGTTGTTCATTGGATGGACTGATGCTGAAGCTGAAACTCCAATACTTTGGCCACCTCATGCGAAGAGTTGACTCATTTGAAAAGACCCTAATGCTGGGAGGGATTGGGGGCAGGAGGAGAGGGGGACAACAGAGGATGAGATGGCTGGATGGCATCACCGACTCAGTGGACATGGGTTTGGGTAGACTCCGGGAGTTGGTGATGGACAGGGAGGCTTGGCGTGCTGCGATTTATGGGGTCGCAAAGAGTCAGACATGACTGAGTGACTGAACTGAACTGAAGCATATTTAGAATTGGATTGCAAGGGGAGGGTAAATTTTGCAGAATAGAGCAAATCTACTTGGTTTATATGTAGAATTGAATATGTCATGCCCTTGTTAGTACTGACCTGTAATATTGGGTGGAGCTCTTTTTCTTAAGAGCTTATGGAAAAACCCAAAATAACTTTTTGACCACCCCAATAAACTGGATGTGTTGGAGTGGTGAATGAGAAGGAAAACCCTTCTTAATTACCTCTCACCATTTGACGCTGGCATCCCTGGGAATGCCAGATGAGATGGGGGAGGGTAGATTGGGAAGAAATCTTGGGCATGTCGGACTTTAAGGCTCTTGTTAGTCACCCATATGGTAATTGCCAGTAGGCAATTGGATGTGTGTGCTTGAAACTCTTAGATTATTATTTAAAATTACTACGTATTTTAAATATTTGTTAAAGTTATGTATTTGGACAAGATTGTACATGGAAAGCATATACAAACTTTAGTACATGCTTTAGTACCTACACTATGTACATAAAGTATATACTCTAGTACATACTCAAGAAGAGTAAATGTAAAAGCACTTGGGGATACAAATAATTAAGGTTTACTTTATTCATATCATTCTGGGATTTAGACAGTACATACCCTGCTTATAAAGATAACCTCCAGGAAAGGCTCCTTGAGAAAATTATCATCTCTTTTATGTATTGCTTTTTTTAAAATAATGAATGTTACTTTGACTCTTCTGCAGTGCAGCTTTTTTAGGAAATGAGTATAGCATTTAAGGAAACAATGCAACTCACACTTCTCTGACAGTTAATGTTACAAAATTCCATAAGATGATCACACCATTTAAGGTTCCAGCAGCTATCAAATTATATCCTTCTATTTGTAGTAGATCGATGCAGTTCACTTCTATACTAACAGCAGGATTCTGAAGAGGGAAAGAAACAGACCCAGTGACCATCATGAACACAGTATCTAAGCACAGTACAAACACGATGTGTATACTTTGTTGTTCTCTTATTAACTTAAACTAAAAAAATGTATATATTTAAATCCTAAAGCATGCAATTTAGTAAAATCTAAATTATTTTGGCATAAAATATTTTAATTTGTAGAATTTAAAAAAAACAAGAAAAAAATATACTCTTCATCTATTGTCTTCTTCCTTCAACCTAAACTATCAACCATTAAATTACTTTCCCATCTTTCTCGTCTCTTCAAACTTCTTGAGAGAATATCCTATATTAGCTCTTCTAACCTACTGACCTTCCTTTCACCCATGGCCTAGCTTCTGCTCCATGCACTCCCTGAAAACTTTTTCTAAATATCACTAGGGACTTTCTTTTGCCAGTGCTATTTGATATGTTTCAGTTGTCTTGCCTCAAGTATTTTTTGGTACCTACTTTGTTAGGTTCTTGGGATATACAGTTAAACAGAATGTCAGTAAACCCAGAGAAATTTTTAATACAATTCAAGCATTCAGACAAACTGTTCAGATAACTGTTAATTCAGATAAACTGTTATTATGTACAATTTTTTTTGAGAGTTTATGTTTTATTTGACAGACATACTAAGGACTTGAAGCCTAGGAGATAGCATCTTAAAAGTAATCCTGGGAAAACTGCTCCAAGGAGGTGAGGAGGAAGCTAGATATATAGGAATCATCCAACAAAGGACACAAAAGATTACCGTTAATAAAAGAAAACTCAGTTTAAGGAATTTAACACTTTTCTATGTATGAGGAGATGCAAGAGTCTGGGCTCTCATCATTCCTTTGATATGCACCTCAGCTATCTGGGGCCAGTATCCTACTTTCACATCCCAAGTTTCCTCAGGGCTCACCATCAGAAGTGGCTGCGGTCTGATGGCTGCTAGATGGTAAGTATTCTTTGTTTCCTTCCTGAGTTCCCTCAGGACTTACCAGCTCATCGTCAGAGTTGGCTACAATCACTGATGACTGTGATATCTTTTTTTTACTGATATGGCAGACAATGTTTTATTTCTCAGTTCTTCATCTTGGTCGAAAATTTGAGCAATTTGGGAGACATTTCATGACCAATTTTTGTCCCATGGTGCTGGGACATTCTTAGATCTGGCAAAAATTTTTGCTGATATGCCACTTTGGATGTTAATTTCTGGATTAGGTTCTGTTGATAATTAAAGATTCTCTGGATCCTCTGTCTTACTAGTCCATTATGATCCAGGGAATGTTTTAAGCTTATTGCTTCTTTCCGTACCTAGAATCACACTAATAGAATTATTTTATGAGTCATAAATGTGATCTATTTCCTCAAAATGTTTAGCCATCATTAGTTTTGTCACAGGGCCTAGTTATACATTGGGTACAGTAAGAGACAACAACCTTATAAAATAGACAGGATATAAGTAATACAGCTAGTAATATTAACAAAGTCATAGGGCAGCATGGAGTCACAAAACACATTTGGAAATGAAGAGCAAATGAAAACAATGATTACATCTTTGTTACAAAGCTATACTTTATCAACTTGTTGTAAGTTATAGCATAAGAGGAAACCTCTTTTGGAAAACAAAGATTAAAACTAGTATATTTTCCAAAAAGTCATAAAGTTATAAACCATGTTTATCAGTTCATCTGGTCCCATAAAGTTAATTCCTGTTGATCTGGATGAAGACATCAGATTTTCCATTAGAATTTTGTTTTGAGAGTTCTGGGGAAAGAGAGCATGTCTTTCAGTTTATCAGTCATTTTTTGCTGTTCCTTTGCTAAGTCATGTCTGGCTCTTTATGACCCCATGGACTGCAGCACACCAGGTTCCTCTGTCCTCCACTATCGCCCAGAGTTTACTCAGATTCATGTCCATTCAGTTGCTGATGCTATCTAACCATCTCATCCTCTACCACCCTCTTCTCCTTTTGCCTTCAATCTTTTCCAGCATCAGGGTCTTTTCCAGTGAGTTGGCTCTTCACATCAGATGGCCAAAGTATTAGATCTTCTGCTTCAGCAACAGTCCTTCCAATGAATATTCAGGATTGATTTCCTTTCAGATCAACTGGTTCGATCTTGCAGTCTAAGGGACTCTCAAGAGTCTTCTCCAGCACCACTATTCAAAAGCATCAGTTCTTCAGTGCTCAGCCTTCTTTATGGTCGAGCTCTCACATCTGTACATGACTAGTGGAAAAACTACAGCTTTGATTATACAGATGCCCTAAAACAATAAAACAATGGTGGCATGAAACCCACATCCTGCCCAGTGAACTCAGTAAGTTAATGACCCCTAGGACAGGATACATAGTAGGTGATCATTAAAAATACATGTAGTGACATACAAAAATCTCAAAAGCCTACTAAAGAATATTTAAGTATATACTGTATGATTCAACTTACATAGCATTCTAGAAGAAGGAAAAACAAATCTAAAAAATATTAGAGAAGTAGTTGTCTTGAGTGAGGGGCAAGTATTGATTGGTAGGGGTATGAAAGTGTGTTTTATCTTGAGGGGGTTTGGATTGTGTTTTGAATATATTCCTATTCAAATTCATTGAATAGCACACTTAAATTCTGTGTATTTTATTATTTGTAAATTTTACTAAAAAATATAAATAGTAAATTCTAGTTAAAGATACATATACTGAAGTATTTAGGGATATGTACTGAAATTGTCATCTTACTTTGAAATACATTTTAAAAACAAGGTGGATTGAAGGGTGAGTAGGGGATGAATATGTAACTACATATGCAATGAAGCAAATATTGCAAAATATTTGTAAGGAGTAATTTTTAAGTGGAGGGTTTTATAGGTGCTCATTTTATAAAGCTGCCAATTGTTCTATATTTGTGAAATTTTTCATAAGGAAATGTTGAGAAAGAAAAACCTATGAACCATACACTCTTCAGAAAAGAGATTTTATATATAATTACAAAGACTTTTTATATCCCTGGAAGTCTACCCATGGACAGAGAATTCAAGGATCCTGAATTAGGGAGTTAAGGACCCTGGTTCTGTAATTCTAAGGATCTATTACTAAGGACTTGTCAGAAGATGCTTCTTTTTATCTGTGTGTGGAAAACAATATTGGTTTCTTTCAATCTTCTTACAGTTCTGAAAATCAGAGAATATCTTGTAACAAAAATAGTTTGATGATATATTTTCCTTATTTAGATTTTTAAAACAATATTTAGAACAGCAAGAAAAAATTAACCAGATATCAATAAGTGATATCACCAGAGCAATATAAGAAGCTTAAAAAATAAAAGCTGAAAACAAAAAGTTAAAATTTTATTAACTGATATTGGAAAATCTAGTTAAATCATATAATGTAAACATGGTGAAATAATAATTAGCCAGAAAATGTGAACAACAATTTTGTGACCTCTTGCTATGACCCCAAACTTACCTTTCTTGTTAAAATCTAGGAGATGTTAAAAACAACCTAGCTATTTTTAGATAGATGAAAACATGAAATGCTAATGGACTCCCTGAGTGGAGTTGAAAGAATAATTGTGATTATTTCCAAGAGTAGTTTCTAATAAACTGTTGAAACCTCATCTACACCAAGCTGCTCAGAAATTAACATTGCCGTGGCAAAAATGACCATACACAAAGTGAAAACACAAATAAGAAAATGGGAAAAAATATTTGAAACTTCTCTCACAGAGGACTGATATTCCTAATACATACTCCTAATTATTTATACATATATGTGTGTACTTATATTCTTAATATATAAAGAGCTCTTTAATACATTAGAAAAAAAGAAAAATCTAGATAGAAATATAAACAAAGAATAGACAAATGAGGCATGTACATAAAAATATTTAATCTAAAAACTTGTCATACCTGAAAGTTATCCAGAACTACTAGGGTCATATCAAAATAACTCAGAAACCTGAACTGTCCAATTAGCTTGAGATGGGATAATTTGAGAATTAATCAATAATGCAGTAGACTGAAACACATCAAGAATATTTAAATTTGTGATCTGATAATGATACTAAACAAATAAAATCCACTGACCACTTTTGTAGCATGCTAGAGAACCAGTTTCTTACTTTGAATACTGATAAATGTAAGAAAACAATCAGTCAGTTACTTTGATTTCCTATCTGAACTGTACCTCGGTGTAACTAAATAGTTGATAATAGTTTTTATTTAGAGACACATTCCAGCTAACAAATAAATCAGAATGGTAAAATGGCAACTCTGAATGAAATAATAAACCTAGGTAGTGATCATTAAC